AGCATTAACTGTTATGAAGTTAAATATGGTAATAGTGAGTTAAACACCATGAGTTTTAAGCAAAATCCAGAACTGTCTGTTCATTAGTTGTTTCCAGAAACACTTTTAAACTGATATTTTATAAAATAATACTTAATTGAATATTGAACTTAATTATCCTGAGCACCAAGCTTGGTACAATCTTGAGTAAAAGATCCAGGGGCCCTTGATGTGTTGAACCTTAATTTCTCAGGGGGCAATTGTTAGGAAGGTGAGTTTGGATCACAGGGCAGAGCCCTCATAATGCCTTTGTTTCACTTTGAAGAAGTTCTAGCTCTGGACTGGGTTTATTATTGTGACAGCAAGTCATGAAGCAAGCTACTTTTTGGGTTCTCTATTTTGCTCTTGTCCATCTGCTTTCTGCTAGGAGATTAAAAAAAAAGCACTAGCCACTCAGCAGAAGCTGAGCAGTGCTAGTGCTATGCTCTTGAATGTCCCTTTTTCCAGAACCATGAGCCTTTTCTTTATAAATTCCTTATAAATAGCCTTTTTAGATATAAGCTCCCTGTTCTCAGGTATGCTGTTAAAGCAACAGAAAACAAAAGTGTACTTCTTTCCTTCAGCACCTCTTTATTATCTCAGAAGAGATTCCCAAGATCGTTGGATTTTTTTTTTTTATTCTGTCCATACTATATATATTTCAAAAGTAACAGGCTCTAAATTGCTGACCTTAGTTTACTGTGTATTTGATACTTTCCATTACTTGCTTTTGGTTGGAATTAGAAATAATAGAGATTTGATTTAGGTAAAAGGGAGGCATTTATGGGAAATTTTAATTTTCTGTCTTTGGTTTTTCCAGAGCTCTGTAATTGTGTCAGAAGCAAAAACTAAGGATTGAAAGGCCCTAATATAAGAGAAACATTGTAGGAAAGGGAAAGAGCTAGCTTTGCTTAAGTTTCTTAAAGAGAAAGACATAATTGCATGAAGAAAAATAAAATGACAGGGTTTAGATACCCTGTGACAAGTTTTAGTTTACAAAATACATCGTCAGTGCTTTGCACATGGTAGAAAACAGAGGGGACCTTAGACAATTAGCTTTTATTTAAGTTACACATGTGTAAATACCGAATAGTTTCTCTGGTGTGAATAATCTGCAATATACTTAAGATCCTAATAAGATTACTGACATTTAGAAATGGGAAGAAAGGAGCTAAAGGTATAGGGAAGGGGGGATGGGTAGGGGAAGGGTAATAAGGGAAAAGAAAAAAATGTGAGATAATGAAAAGATGAAAATAAAGTGTTTGTAGATGGGGAGGGGAGGAGGGCGTGAAGGGAGGGCAGGGGTAAGGGGAAAAAATGAGAATCAAGACTTGTCATGTGGAGGTACAAGATCCCAACAATGAATGTAACTGTACTGTATCCCTAAAATGTACCAATAAACTCAAAGCTGAAAAAAAAAAAAAAAAAAAGGAGGCAGGAGCAGGATCTCTGAATTCTAGAGATGATGGAATTGTAAATCAAAGCTCTCCAAGAGTAAGTACCTGTCTGTTCTCCATTGCTTATTTAGTGTCTTCTTCAGTCCCTTGTAGCTTGTCAGTTGCTAATATGCCGAATAAGTGAATGTTTGTTTGTTGAACAAATTGAAGAATACCTTGAAGGAGATATATTAGTAGGGCAGAGATGAGATATAAAATGTGGAGAAAATATTCAGAGGTAGAAGTGACTGCCAAACACAGTAGAAAATCAACCTGACTGGAACTGTGGGGAATGAGCCAGGAATGTTCTGGGAAATGTCTGCTAAACAGAGATTGGGGTCATATAAGCATCTTTGAATGCTGGACATAGGAATTTAGAATATGTTGTCTAAGGAGTGTAGACTTTGAAGAGGTAGAGGTATTTTTAAAGCCATATTTTAGGTATACTCTGAAAACATTGTAGGTTGTATTAAGGAAGAGGTTAGAGAACCAGTTTTGAGACATACTGTGATGTTGGATAAAAATTCTCTAAAAAGTAGTCATGACCAATGAAGTTGTTGTTGTTGTTATTATTATTATTATTATTATTATTATTAATTAATGTTGGTACTGGGGATCGAATTCAGGACCTTGAGCTTGCAAAGCTGTTGTGGTACCACGGAGCTAAATCCTTGGCATAAAATAATTTTATTTGTAATATATTATGTAAAGATTCTTTTTAAATCCTAGTGATTAAGCATAATGACATGGCCATCTTTTTCAGTAGTTTTTCATAGTATTCTCTTATTGATCTTCATGGCTTTTCTGTAAGATCATGGTATAAATTTTGAATGTGTTTGTTCTTCCCTTATTTGCCTTTTGCTAATATCAAGCAGAGCACGTGAGACATTCCCTGTTGCTGTGCAACTGCTAAATGCAATATTTATTATTAGTAAAACTGAGTGGCATTAACGTCCAGTGAACAGAGTAGCAAAAATATTGGCTTTACAATACCTAATCAATAGTAATTAGAAGATTTTAATGTATCATTGTGAATATAAGCAGAAGAAGGAGTTTATAGTTGCTTTTTTTTAGCAAAATTAGTTGTGGTTAAATCTTCTGAGTTTGTCATTAAATTTTTTTGTTTTTGCTTGCTTTCTTTTGGTCTTTCTTTTCCACTTCTTTGATCTGTGAGTTGGTTTTGTAAGTGTCTCTGAGTTACTAATAAAGTTCTTGCTCATTTTTCTTATTTCAAATTCTATAGTTTGTAATTAATTTTTTAATGTCCCAAATCCTGCACTTGCTTTTTTCTTTCCTAGTATTATTTCTTACTCTATTTACATTTTTCTTTTTCAAGAATTTAGCTTAGCATGCAAGATTGGAATTTGTTACAATTTCACATAAATGCAGGTGGAAAAAATACTAGATTTGTTCTTTAGAATGAGAGCTATAGTAACCTTTGAACTATATTTGCAGTGTGTGTTGTTACTTTCAATATATGGAAATACTTGTAATTTATATTTGTGAAATTCCTTTTTGGGGGGTAGGAGGCCTGTGTAAAGACACACTATTGAATAGCGGGGAAGGATGAATGAATGAGAGAATATCAAGTCTTCAGGACCATATAGATAGTACCAAGCATTTCCTTCTCATTATTTTACCACCTCCCTACCTCTGCAACTGCTAGTCCCAACCTTTTCTCCTCTTGTGTAAGGAAGAGCAAAAGGTCATAGTAATTTAGTAGAAATTAATTATAGTGGGTAAATAACAAGCAGGCATAGGCACCTGACTATGTTCTTAGAATAATTTTGGCAGCAAGTAAAGAGAGTTGATAAACAATAGAAAATCTATAATCTCAAAATAGTGAAATGTATATGTGTATATATATGTGTGAGTTTTACTCTTTGACTTTGTAGTAAAGAATCTTAGATATAAGGAATCTTGGAAATTGTGGCTTGAGAAACTGTAGGTCATTTTAATATTCTTATCTGCAAAGAGCCATCTAGAATATAATTTGTACAACATTAATTAAAATAAATTTTACTTTCCTATAAAAATAGTCCTAATATTAAATAGTTCTAATTATATATAAATAAAATGTTCTAATTACAGGTTAGTGGACTCTAAAGATTATTGAAAATGATGACTTAATAGTGGGACAAAGTCTTATTATTAAATTACATTATTCCTAATAGCCAGATACTTTCTAGGGACCATATTTCCTACCGCTTTACCTTCCAATTATTTTATTTTATATATGATTGTAGTTATGGTGAAGAAATGGCAATGTGTGTCGTCCTAATTGTCCAGCAGGCAATAGTATTTTACTTTTATTTTTTTGGTACCGGGGATTGAACTAGGGTCCTTGAGCTTGCAAGGCAGGCCACTGAACCGCTCAGCTAAATCCCTGGCAAGCAATAGTATTTTAAATTAGTGGTTCCCTTCCGTTTTTGTGCAAGAATGCCTTTTAACAATGAAAAAAAACTTATAGGCTAGGTTGTTTCTGGTGAATACACCTGTGATCTCAGCCCTCGGGAGGCTGAGGAAGGAGGATCACAATGAGCTTGAAGCCAGTCCGGGCTGTGTAGTGAGTTCCAGGTCAGCCAGAACCAACATAGTGACACCCCGTCTCACTCCTCCTCTCCAATACATATAAATCCTTAGGTGATAAGTAGATTGTGGCAAAATATACAGTGTCCCAAACTACTAGGAATTCACTTAAGTTTTTTATATTTTCTTATAGTAGCATTTCTGTGTATTCGAAAAGATAGAGAGAACATATAAGACATTAATTCTTTCTGAAGGTCATGCTTAAAGTGCATAAGAATGCACAGAACTCTCCTAATAAGTGTCTGAGCTTACAGTGAAATCCATGGCAGAGTTGGGGAACCATGTTCTAATCCATTATTCCTGATGTGTTATATAAACACACAATCTGTGTCCCCTCCCTCCTTCCTCCCCCTTCCCCACCCATAAAAAAAATAGCAAGATATTTTAACTGTATGTGTGATTAATGGGTCTTGTCTTTATAAAGGGATCTAGCAAGTAAGTTATTGTGACATTGTGAAATACAAAGTGTTTTTTCTAAATTATGCTTTGGGGTGTGTTTTTAGTGAAGATTTTTCTTCAAGAAATTGTTAATTTGAAAATTCTTATTCTCAATTCCTATTCAGAAAAATATAGTTTAGATTATTCTAGAAAGTTGTGGAGGTTTTGAAGCAGTTTAGCTCTTCAGTGAAAAAGGTACCTTTTAAGGTGGAGCTTTAGAATTTATGTAAATTTTATAGAGTAGTAAGGGAATTTATTTCCATTCCTTTGGTTTTTTCTCGTAACTGTTGTTCGTAAATGTACTATGAGTTTGTGTCATGTTAATCACTGACAAAAAAGCAAATGCTCTTTCTAGATTTGTCAGTGAAACACTCCTTATCCTTTCAGTATTAATCTGAAATCCTTGAGGATTGGAAGAAAACATCATCATTTCATGCAATTGATTATTATTGCTATAGTAAATATTATTGTGATAATGATTTTTCTTTTTTTCTTTTTTCTTTTTTTTTGTCCTTTCAGGGTTTGAAACTATTCTTGAAGGGCTGTTTGGACCTGCATTATTAAAAGATCTCAGTTTATTTAAAGGTATTAAAATATTTTGGTATTTTAGATTCTTCTTAGTACATATATGATACCTTCATGATTTAAGCCTCTGTCTCTCTTTTATTCAGTTTCATGTGGTTTAAAGCTATTGTTTTCAGTTTTTAATTGATACATAGTAACTAGGAAGCATTTAGGAATTAAGTTTCTCCCTCTTTTTTTTTTTTTTGTTTGTTTGTTTTATTTTTCTTCTGGGTACTGGGAGTTGAAATCAGGGTCTTTGTACTGAGCTCCAAACCTAGCCCTTTATATTTTTTGAGACAGTGTCACTGTCATTAAGTTGCCTGGGCTGGGCTTGAACTTTTTTACTGCCCTGCCTCAGCTTCCTAAATGCTGGGAGTATTGGCATGTGACACTGTGCCTCAAGTGAAAATTCTTGAGTTAAGAATATTAACACGTCTGGGGTTATAGCTCACTGATGGATCATGTGCCTCACATTTATGAGATCTTTGTGAAGTTTTGGTTGAATATTATTTATGAAATTAGGTCTGATTTATTTTCTGAAAAATTCTATTTTGTGATTATTAATTTAGTATATTTATTTTTATAGAGTGTGAATCTGAAAACGTTTCTGATTGGACATTTGATGAAAATTGTCTGTTCTGTTGCTTAAGAAGAGATAAAGTAAAGGTAACCAAGAATCTCATGAAACTTCTCTAGTATGGTGTTTTTTAGTTTCCTATTTTAAAAAATTATGCCATTTTGTTAAAGGAATTGTAGGAATTAGGAAGGTAAATTTATAAAGGATTTGAAGCAGCTCTTGGAGTTTTTTGTGGGGTGTTTTTTTTTTTTTTTGGTACTGTGAATTGAACTTGGGACCTTGCGCTTCCGAGGCAGTTGGTGGAACCACTGAGCTAAATTCCCAGCCCCTGAGTTTTCTTTTTAAACTATTTCCTAGTCTGCTGATTAGCCTGTGGAGAAATCTATATCCCAACATGCATTGTGTTATTTATATAGTTCAGTAGACAAAATAATTCAGTCTCAGCTGTCATGTTTCCTTATATATGAAGTGCATAGTAATTGAAACAAATCATCACTTGTACAAAATGAATAGTAATATTTGATTGAACAGTTACTAATTCATGTAGATTTATGATATACCGTGGTACTAATCTTATGGGTTTTTTTTTAATAATACCTCTAGTCCCTGTTTTAAAGCCATGGAAACATTCTGATTCTATTTTCTCCTCTTGTATACTCTAGCTTCATGTTGTTTCATGTTGAACATGTTGTATCAGTTTCTCCTACTAATGAATTTTATTTATTTCCGCAGTCATTACAGTAAGTAGTTCAGACCTCCACTATTTCTGGACTACTGAAATACTGTGATTGGTCTTAGTTTTTTCAGGCTGTTAAAATACTGCTATCAGTTTAATTACCTTCCCTCCACTGTCACCCTTGAAATTTTGTGGAAGTGTTATGCTCTAAATGAGTTTCATTCTTTTTTTTTTTTTTTTTTTTTTTTTTTTTCTCTCCTGGTACCAGGGATTGAACTCGGGACCTTAGTGCTTGTGAGACAGGTGCAGCACTACTGAGCTAAATCCCTGGCCTGAGTTTCTTATTTTCTGGGCTCCTCAGTCTAACTCTCAAAACTTCTGTACTTTCTACAATTAGGCCATTTTTTTTTTTCTCCTCCTGATGCCTCGTTAGTCTTTTGTCTATACCATTGTGTACTTGTTCTCTATAACTTGAAATTCTCTTGCTTTTACTTTTAAGTCCTTCTCTTGTGAATGCCACACCAATGCAGTTATTGCTTTTGCACTTTTCACACTGCTATAATAAATACTCTTTATACCAATTGTTTGTCAATTAATATTCTGCCTTACTTTGTTCATTCTTTTCTGTGTTTGAATTTTGTCTTCCTGACTGTATTGTCAGCCCCTGAAGACTGGACCAGGCTATATGCTTCTTTTTATCTCTACATGTAAAATATGAAAGTCATCATGTAGTCAGTTTGAGCTCTTTAACTCTTCTGTTATGGTATCTTTTTATTTTCTCCATGTGAAAGTTGTCATGACTATCCAGGATGGTCTGTTTTCATTAAATTGATCAGGAAGTTAAGTTGATGAAGAAATTTAATGTAATTTTTCAAAAGAGACCAGAAAATAACAGGTGTTATGTTTAAACTATCAAAAAAGTTGAAGTTCATCATTTTAAACTTGATGTATGTGTATGTTGGCATATTGTAACTATTAAGTCATTTGCTAGGAATTTTGATAGAAAGAAAAAACGGTTGTATTTTTCTTAAGTCATACTGGGAAGGGAGCCATTCTGTTTGGTAATTGAGTGCAATATGTTCATGTAGTATGTTGAGAATTTTTTATTGCCATATGAGAGTAACATATTGTATGATTATTTTAAGGAGAAAATGTAGAAATAGGAAATTACAAAACAATACCACATTTAAAAGCTTTTTCTACTGGTTGGAGTTCTATAGTTTTTAGTTGGTTTTCTAATTTAAAAGAATATTTTCATTTGACTCAGTTCTGGGAAGCTATTTTCCTTTATTAGATCCTGTACTATCTGTCTCTGACATTATTTTCAGAAAGAGCCATCCTTTATTTACATCAATAATGAAAAATGGGAAAGAAAAGAACTAGATTATGTGTCAGGAATACATCTATATCTATATCTATATATATCTTTCATTGTGTTAGACTTGAAGAGTTATATTGGAAGTCTTTGAAAATACTTAGAGCATCTTATCTGAGAAGGATTAGAACCTGGAAATAAAATCTGTCCACTTCGTTGAAGCTTGTAAAACAAAAACCAAAAAAGGAAATATGTGGAAAATATGTTAATAGCCAATAGGTGGCAGTATTGAGGAGAAGACTGTAATTCTGGGTTTTTTTGTTTTGTTTTGTTTTGTTTTTTTGAGACAGGGTCTCACTATGTAGTTGAGACTGATCTGGAACTCACTATGTAGCTCAGTCTGGTCTTGAACTCACAGTGATTCCCCTGCCTCAGCCTCCTGATTATTGGGATTACAGGCGTGAGCCACCACACCCGGCTATGACTGTAATTCTTTGAGGTTGGCATGATGAGACTATTTAGGTAATGTTTGGAAAAGTAGTTGGAAATAATGGCCTGATATTTGAAAGCAAAATGAAAGCTTTATTAAAAATTGGTTTGTTTTTTGAGACACCGTCTCTGTAGTTCAGGCTGGCCTTGACATCACTGTATAGCCCATACTGGGCTCAACTCTAGGCAGTCCTCTTGCCTCAGCCTCCTAAGTTTCCCCAGTGCTGGGAATACAGGCGTGCACCCCCATGCTTGACTCATGTTTTTACTTAATTGAAGTTTTAGTGAATACTGATGCTATTAGAATGGATAAACCAAAAACATCATCTATATTTACATTTTTAAGTGTACAGGTGAAAAAATGCGTACTAGCTTATTTCTTTAGGAAATAGATCCGAAATTCACCTAGAGATTATAGTAGTAATCTACAGGGAATATGTTGTAAGATTCCCAGTAGATACATGAAACCACTCATAGTATTGAAGCCTATATGTATACTTTTTCTGTATATACTTAACAGTGATAAAGTTTAATTTACAAATTAGACAAGAGACTATTAAGAGTAGCTAATAATAAAATAGAAAAATCACAATAACATTTTCTCTTCATATCTTTCACAAATTCAGTTCTTTGTCCATTTTATTAAGCATTTATCATGCACTGTAATATTTGCATTCTGAGGCACAACAAACGGGAAAACTGGCATCAATTTCTTGTTCATCCTTCACACATTCATGAATGGAATATTTGTTTTATGTTGGTCTTAGCAACTACAGCATGAATTTTTTTCTTCCCTTTTTTTTGGTACTAGGAATCGAACTCGGGTCCTTGAGCTTGCAAAGTAGGTGCTGGAACCACTGAGCTAAATCCCCGGCCCTTTTATTCCCTTATTAAATCAAGAACTTTTCTTTCACTTAAAGAATCACTACATGGCTACTCTTTGACACTGGAATTGCTAACAATGTTACCTTTGCACTTTGGGGCTGCTAGTGAATAAAATAAGGATTATCTGAACACAGCACTATGATACTGCAACAGTCAAAACTGATAACTGAAACAGCTACAAAGTAATTAATGGGCAGGTAGTATATATGGCATGTATATTATGTACAAAGGGACAATTCATGTACTAGGTGAGACCAGTGAGATTGCGTGACACTCAGAATGGTACACACTTTCAAACTAAGAATTATTTCTGTACATTTCTACTTTGGACCATGCTTGACCATGAGTAACTGGAACTGGAAAGCAAATTTACAGATAAAGGGCACTTCTGTAGTAAAATAGTTGTTGACCCACAGATTAGAGAATATAATTTTTTTTTAGGCAGACCAGTTACTGATACATATAATAACAATTATAGGGATTTTGTACCTGTACAAGATATATCTTGCTTCTTGTTTTTTCCCATTCCCATTTTCCTTCTCCTTCAACCCCTCTTCCTCTCATTTACAAAAGCATTGTTGCCATTTTTTCCTTCTAGAGACTAATTTGTAAGGGAAAGGCAGCTAATATTTTTTGAGTGACTACTCTGTGCCATTTCGTTTTATGTGTTAGTATTTAATCTTCAAAACAGTCTTTCAGTGTTGGTTAAAAGGTGTTTTATTTGTATAAATTAAGTATGAAAGGCCAGTAACTTATGAGTAAAGTCCTGTGGCTGGTATTATATGGTTTGATAGCACCACTAGGGAGAGCAACATTGGAATTGAGAAGCAAAGTGAAACAGGACTCAGTGTTTCATAGTTTGAAAGAGAAAAAGAATGTGAGGAAAACTGAGCTTGACTGTAGTAGAAAGGATCATTCATAGCTGTATTAAAATTAATCTCTGAGTCTCTAAAACTAACTTTCTGGCTTGCTTCCCTGCATCTTTCTTTCTTACTTTTCCCATTAGGCAGTCCATAAAATATTTATTAAATGAATGACTAAGAAGTCAGAAGGTATATAAATTTGGAAAGTTTCACTATTGATACCTGTTTTGAGGACTTACGCGTGTCAGCTATATATTCCAAATCTATTACCTATTCTCTTAGGCTTTTGAAATTTTTTTTAAAGCTTCTTTTAAAGATAATTTTAGGCTAAAAAAAAAAAGTAACAAAAATCCTCCTATACATTTGCATATACCCTTTAGCCAACATTCCCAAAGGTTAAAATTTTGTGTAACCATAGTACAATTACAGAAATCACAGAATTACCATTGATGTCATCATATATATATATAT